GGATAAAGGCAAACCTGAAGTGGACTTGCCGGAAGCAGAAATTGGAAAGGTTCGACTTCGGTTTGCTCCAGAGCCAAGTGGTTACCTTCACATTGGACATGCCAAGGCTGCGTTGCTGAACAAGTATTTTGCTGAGCGTTACCAAGGGGAAGTGATTGTGCGTTTTGATGATACTAACCCTGCTAAAGAAAGCAATGAGTTTGTGGATAATCTCGTTAAAGATATTGGGACTTTGGGGATCAAGTATGAGAAAGTGACATACACTTCGGACTACTTTCCTGAACTGATGCAAATGGCGGAGAAACTGATGCGTGAGGGCAAGGCTTATGTTGACGACACACCGAGGGAGCAGATGCAGAAAGAGAGGATGGATGGGATTGATTCAAAATGCAGGAATCATGGCGTCGATGAGAATTTGAAGCTATGGAAGGAAATGATTGCGGGAAGTGAGAGAGGATTACAGTGCTGCGTTCGCGGGAAATTCAACATGCAAGATCCCAACAAAGCCATGCGCGACCCGGTTTATTATCGATGCAATCCTATGTCTCACCACCGTATCGGGGATAAGTATAAGATATATCCAACATATGACTTTGCTTGCCCGTTTGTCGATTCCCTTGAAGGTATAACGCATGCTCTTCGCTCTAGTGAGTATCATGACCGGAATGCTCAGTACTTTAAAGTTCTGGAGGACATGGGAATGCGACAGGTTCAGCTTTATGAATTCAGCCGGTTAAATCTGGTTTTTACACTTCTCAGTAAGCGCAAGCTTCTCTGGTTTGTCCAGACTGGATTGGTTGATGGGTGGGATGATCCACGCTTCCCGACAGTCCAAGGAATTGTTCGTAGAGGTTTGAAAATCGAGGCTCTTATTCAGTTCATTCTCGAGCAGGTAAAACCTTTGTGTTTTGTTCTCGCTCGTCTCATTCGAATGTTCTGTAAAAATAATTCTGTTGATTTTTTTTGTTTACAGGGGGCTTCGAAGAATCTAAATTTGATGGAATGGGACAAACTTTGGTCTATTAATAAGAGAATAATTGATCCTGTGTGTCCTAGACACACGGCTGTGATTGCAGAGCGTCGTGTACTATTTACCTTAACGGATGGTCCCGATGAGCCGTTTGTTCGCCTGATACCAAAGCACAAGAAATTCGAAGGTGCTGGAGAAAAAGCGACCACTTTCACTAAGAGCATTTGGATCGAGGAAGCTGATGCGAGTGCCATATCCGTTGATGAAGAAGTAACTTTGATGGATTGGGGAAATGCCATAGTAAAGCAGATCACAAAGGATGAGGAGGGTCGTGTCACTGCGTTATCGGGCGTTCTGAATCTCCAAGGTTCTGTAAAGACTACAAAGCTGAAGCTCACATGGCTTCCTGATACTAATGAATTGGTCAATCTCACATTAACTGAGTTTGATTATTTAATCACCAAGAAGAAGGTACTGATACATTTATTTCTACATAATATTGCTATCTCTCAAAATCACTGATTTGTTTTTGCTGCAATACAGCTGGAAGATGATGATGAAGTTGCTGATTTTGTGAATCCTAATACAAAGAAGGAAACATTGGCACTTGGTGATTCGAATATGAGGAATTTGAAATGTGGAGATGTGATTCAGCTTGAGAGGAAAGGCTATTTCAGATGTGATGTTCCTTTTGTTAAATCTTCAAAGCCCATTGTCTTATTTTCGATTCCAGATGGAAGAGCTGTTAAGTGATGAATGAAAAACTCATTTGGACAAACCATACACTAATTCTTCTTCTTTCTCATTAAAAGCTGAACACCAAGATCGACTCTTTCACTAACACATTGCTTAGTTTTTGCATTTGTTTTATATCCTTTTTATAAGTCTGTTCCTTTTTTCTACTTTTATCCATTCTTTCTCCAATCTAGCTTTAGTAAGAGTTAAGAGCAATGAAGAAGCTTTTCTTGTTAGGGTTTGTAGTTGCAGGATTGGTTCTGGGACTGAAGCGAATGAGTATTTTGAGTTCAATGTCACTGAACTAGATCGCATTGAGGAATTAGAGTATGGTTTGTCTTAATCTAGCTCCAGTTTCAATCCAATAATGGTTGGTCTCACAGTTATCAGAGGAGCTGGTAGCTGGTTCCAAAGGAGCTGGAATGTGAGGTACATTATGTAATATACATCTGAAATGTGGCTATAAAACATCAATATTATGTCCCTGGAAAAAATGTAAAAACAGAACAGTGTTTGAATCTAAGATCTGTGTGTATTAATTACAGTTTGTTTGGATGAAATATCACTTACATCGTGGACATGGATCTGGTGCCAATTGCTGGCTCATTCAGTTAGAGGTTAGCAAAAGAAGATTTGGTCTGTTTAATGTGACGACATTAGGAACTGTGTTTGCCGAAAGAAGTCTCGTTGTGGTTCCTCTAACTATATGGAGAAACAAATATAGTTTACAGGAATACTTAGCAATAAAGCTCAAGAAAATCCAGGTCTTTTGTCTTTAGGCTTTGATTAGTAAAAATCTTGAAGAAGCAATAGCTCACTCGTCTATATTTGCAGACTTTTTCAACTGGAATAGAGTCAAGCTTCGTTACTGGTGATGGTGGTTCCTTCGGCGGAGATAGTCAGAACAAGGTTCTCATTGATTCCGATGAATCTTTTTTCTTAGAGACCATACATTTCATTTTCTTGATATTTATTCTTCTATTGGGGTTTGAGTTGTTGTGTTCTAAATGTAGAGAGCTGGGATTGAGAATTGGCTTGTTGCTTTGTGTGTGGCATTGATGATCAAATTTTGGGGATTGCTCTTTCTTGCTGTCATTTGAGATTTATTTTGACTTTCCTGATAGTCGAAGAAAATTATTTATTTGAAGACTAGATCATAATTATATATGTACATTCTTTGGGTAGACGGTTACCAAATTAATCATGCGAGATCGAGATTCTTGAATTTTACGAGGAGAAGCTAAGTTAAGGAATGAAGAGTTGCTTATGTGTTCCTTAACTTGCAAGTTAGGCTTTTTAGTGTTGTCTCAACTCTCAAGTTATATGCTTACATGATCGACCTTTACCCAACTAATAGTATGGTCACTAGAACATCAAGGCCTATTTACTACATGATACATTTGTCCTAAGTTTATGGGTCAATTAAAGTTTTTGAATTCCTATTTACGATTTATGTTGGTGTAGCTATTAATCAACAATTGTTTTTATTTGTACCTTATGATGCTTATGTGTATCCTTTAGAATTGTAAAGTAACCTAACTTCTTAAACATAAATTAGAAAAACATAAAATTGCAAAAGAAAAATGATCGGTGAAGTTTGTATGATATGTGAGAAAATATTATTTGTCGACATGGTTATGAATAATTTCTTCTTATTTTGTCACTCATTTATCATAAGTTAATGGGGTAGATAAGTTTTTTTTCTTTAAGGTTTATAGGATTTTAGATATGTATTGGGAACTGATATATGAGTTTGTGACCTAACTTCTTAAATTTCATGATTAACTATATGAATTTAATATCCATTGATAGTACATAGTGTGCACATATGCCAAATTTGTCAGTTGTAGGTTAGTTTAATTGTATTAGTTTTGCAAATCCAATTATTTGTTCTTCTTTTTAGTATGTACACACTTTTTTACAATTATTTGAAATATTGTAAGTAGAAACTATCTTTAGGAAGTAAATAGAAAAAAAATTAGTTAGAAAGAGTTGTTTATGTATTATTTTTTGCCTTCATACACTAATTTGCATTTTTATGTTATAAATTTATTGTAACATTTAATGTAATAATCTAGTAGAGTTAAATTATCAATACTAAATCTGTTTTCAAAATATTCAACATTACTATTATTGCCAAATCTCAAAAAACATGGTTTCGCAATCTTGCCTAAAATATGATTCAACAACTTTTTCAAAAAAATGTTTGACACGTATATTACCGGTGAAATTGTCATCTTATTTACATCTATTTACAAATCTACTACTTATTTTATCACAAAATACATATCACAAAAAATGTCTACTAATGATGTCGATCTCCATTACTTCAATGGCTTTAGAGATTCCTCCGAAAGAAATATTCTTTGTGGTGCATGTGTACTCTTGAAAAAGTAAAACATTTTGGTTGGCGTATCCAATTTGGAAGACGAAATCATATTCAGTACATACCCTTGGGCTCAGCCCCACATCTTCAAAATACCGCATCCTCGACCTAACTACTGCGAGAGGTTGTTTTTCCATAAACCACCTTCAATCTACCAACGAATAAACACGGATCTGAAGATCTTTTGGAAGGGAAATCCTTGGAGACCATTCACAATGGACGGTGGACAAGTGATAACCACACAAATCATCATCAACATGTGCTTCGATAATGTCGACCCAGAGATCCTAGAGGTTAAAAATGCACAACGAGGAACATAGACTTCAATCTTTATGAGTATCAAGGTATCTCTTTATATTGCTCTGTTTTTTGTTTTCCATCGGCTCTGTTTTAATCTATTCAATTAATTTGATATTTAAACAAACAAAAAAGTTTAAGAACCTGTTTTCAAATTCGGATGCAAAGAAAGGTCAATCATCAGGAAAGTCGGTCCAAGTGATAAGATCTTAGCAAAATTAACCTTATAAATGTGGAGCGAAATAAAGCATTTCGTGGTCCAGCGAAGAGATTTCAATTCAGCGGGAAGCGATGAAAGACATCTCCGAGAATCCTTTAAATTTAGATAAATAATGATTGGCTTGAGACAACAAACAAATCTTATTTTTTTTATTCTTCTTTTTTATAAACTCGAATGTTATGGGCAGAATCTCATATATCTCCCTAGGTATGGGTCAATTTTTTAAATTTTTTACATATATTAGTTGTTACTCGATCATGTGACCTCTTGAAATTTTTCAAGGTATCTTTCTAGTTAAGTTATCGACATCTTGTCTAACCAACCATATTGAATTACCAAATTTCCTTATTAATTTTTTTTCTTTAACATCCAATATCCCAGTCTAGTAGAAATGAGAAATAAACTATTTATCTACGTAGAAACTATAAACAACAACAAACTCGGACATGAAATATTCTTTATAATTTTTTTTGAAAGGTAACATCCCATCAGACACCGATAAACACATGCTTGTATAAACATACGATCTAAATCAAAGCAACATTCTCACAATGGCTCTAGTCACATTAGAGATTTTTTGCATTGATTTGGTCAAACTAGTCAACGGTGATCTCCCTTTAAACCCTCCTTCACAAACAGAAGCTTCGACACCGGCGTCGATCACACCATCTTCGCCGAATTTCGGAACTCCTTTAGAAATAGCTTCAATGGCTTCGGGAACATCAGCGTTTAAGATCGTTTTGTATCTCCGACTACATTCGTCCAAAGCCCGTTTTAGTTCTGGTCTCTTCTTATATAGACCGTTGATCTCGTTCAAGGTTTTTGTTGTCAGTACCTACAAAATCATATATTTATAAAATAACCCCTTAAGTTATGTTTTATACAGAAACAGTCTCGCATTTCGATTTATAAAGGAAACCCTCCCATTATTTCAGATAATTTATTATGAAAAGTTACATAATTGGTGGTATAGTAAAGAAGCTCGTACACTATACTGAAATTGAAAGGAATATATAAAATAACTCCTTAGGGTTGTGTTTTAAATAAAAACTACCAAAAGTTTTTTTTTTCCCACTACCAAAAGTTTTTATTTATCCAAAACACCCCTTGTTACATTTACATAGATGAAAAACCTGTTGGTCTCGACCAACAATAAACGCTTAAGAGTTTTTTTTTAACACTAAAATAGTGATAAAATTTCAAGAGATAAAATTAATACTAAATAATAGAATAAGATTAATTTAAAATTAACCATTACATCTACAAATTTATCAAACAACCCCGTAAATTTTCTTTCATACAGAAACATCATCTAAGTTTCGATTTATTCAAATTACATATGTCACCAACACAAAAACGTCGAAAGGCTAACAATTCGTGGTATAGTAATGAAACCTTATACTATAGTGAAATTAAGGAAACCTTTATTAAAGATCTGATTCTTATAAGAGACTTTTATTCGAGATAATTGGATATGTATGAAAGAATCTAGATTAAAAATGAAAATGAAAGGACCTTGATTTTATCAATGAGGATGAGAGCGAGGCCAGAAGTGTCGGCAGAGGAACCACGTGGATCGGAGTTAAGGAGAGACACACAAAGATTGAAGTCTGGTGTCTCTTTACATGTCTGCTCTATTATACTTCCTTCACTCACCATCACCGTCACCATCATCATCACCTTCATCATCATCATCATCATCATCTTCTTTGATGATTATCTTTATATGTAAAAGATGGAGGATTTGCTTTAATCTCAGGATTTGGGAGAAGATCAGTTATATAGAAGTGTGTGTGTGTCTAGCTCTGCGTGTATTAATTTGCCTGTGTAGTGCACGTCTCCAATATATATAATCGAATTGATGATGGTGCCTTTACCAAAATCCCTTAATTCCCTAGGATAAAAAGTTTCATTTCACGCAAGATATTTTCTTTAGTTATTTTTAATATATATATATATACCAAAGAGAAAAGCTATATAGAATATTGTCCAATCAAATTTTTACTTTGTATGTTTTTATAGTATCCAAGAACAATATTGGTAAAAACAATAAATATAATGTCTAATGCTATGACTGAAATATTTGTTACTATTAAATAATAAATATGCCAAGCTAATATTAGTCAAATAATCATGATATGGATAATTATGTATATATATATGCCTAAGACTATTTATTAATTAGCTATGAATGATGGTTTGACTTCAAATTTTCTAAGTTGCTTATTATCTTAAAATTTTAAAACATCATTTTTCATAGCGAATAAATAACTTGAAAAAAAAAATGTGTAAAATGGGGAGTAACAAGCTAAAATTTGTTTTCTTATTTGATTAGATCGTAAGTTTTAACCTATCTAATGCACATTCATATGAAATTTTAATTAAAAAAAAAAAAACTAAAAGTTAATTTGCGTTTAAATAAAATATTTACCCTAAACCACAATAAATTTAGTACCGAAGTACTTAAATAGTCAAAAGATTGTTCTTTTTTTCTTTCTAATTTGTTAAAATCAATTACATAATCGTCACTAAAAATTCACAACTTTACAACAAAATATACAAACACAATCTCATCTTTTTACTTACTTCAACGCATCCAAGATATTTTTTGTATGTGTTTATTATACGGCCCCATTTTTCCAAATATAATATATGATCTAAGCAGAAGATAAAACAAGAGACATATGTAGTATTTGTTATTAACGTTGGGGCCAAGTATTTAAAGTTTCTATAACTTTCCAACGAACCGATTGTAAGAAACATCGCCAGGTGGATCCAATAGTCGAGGTTAGCGTGTTACACTGCGTAGTGATTAAGCTAATTCATCCGAACTTAATCAAGGGGCTCACTTTTGCTGAGCCGTAGTTTTTGGCTTTTTGCCAATACCAATTGTTATTGGTAAGCATTGTGAGTTACATGGTGGAGACATAGCATCAGCTTTAGAGACTAGGATAAATTTTAAAGTAAATAAAGCACACAATTATTTGCGTTATTTTAAACATGACCACCTAAAGCTTTTTTTTTCTCTTAAGGTCATCACTGAATAATCCTATCTTCCTTAAAGTTATACATTCTTTTACTTCTTTTTGTGGCTTTTTGGGCCATACGACGAAAGATAAGTTCAATACGACATGTCTTTTTCATATGTTGATCCACATTTGCCTAATCCAATCATTCAATGTAATCAACATAAGAAAATAATATAATTTTCTATAATCTTATAAGTTATAAGCAAATATATATTCGGTAAAAAAAACAATATGTTAGGATAAACAAATAAATATTGTTATTAGGGAATGTAAAATATGCTTCGCGTTTTGAATATTACATAGAGAAAAGTAGATTAAAAACGACAATAGAAGTTCGAGTGAATTTTGAAATCATGAATTGCCAAATTGGTTGTGTAAATGAAGATTTTTCTTTTTCTGAATTATGCTCTTCAGTTTAAAATATTTTAACTTTGTCAAATTGGGTATGTATTTGGTGTCCGGAATTTTCGGGAATACGACAATTAACTCGTAATAAAACCAATTGTCCATTACTAATAAGTAATATACTATTCAATACGGTTCCATGCAATAACAAATATCTGCAAAAAGTAGCAGATTATCCGAATCTATCCAATAAACATGTTCATATAGAAGTCTAAAATTAACCAGATATTTAAAATGCATATTTAAATTAAAGAGTATCTTTAATAACAAAACTATTGTAACTCAACCAAGTGTTCTTGGTCTAGTGGTTGCCACTTGTGGAGGAGTTGCCATGTTGGTCTAGGCCAGGGATCGATTCCCCGCAAGCGCGCAATTGTTAGATCTCCACTTGGCCACATGGATATGGGCCCTTGCTTTCGGCCCATTTGCATACCCGGAGATATTGTAACTCAAGCTGCATGCAAATCACTTTACATAATAATTTATTGGTATGAGAGAGGGACCTCTACTAAATCCATATCAACACTTCTATTAAACTATATCCAACCCATTACTCTATTTTTTTTTTCTCTTGAAATAGAGTAATTCTATTTTGGAGTTAAGTTTTTCTCCAATATACATTTTATATATTTCTTTTCTTTTTTATCTGAAAATTTCATTCATTAGATACTTTAGAGTTATACAAAGCCGACAAGGATCGAGATCCTTTCTCTAACATAACTCGAAAGTAGATAAATAGACTAGAAAAATTTGAATATATAGTAAAATTTTAGAGATCTCTATTTTAGAGTAGAAATGAGAATATGATTGGAGAAGATTTTATTCTAAATAGAGTTTAGAGGTGGATTCAAAATAGCTTTCTTTTTGCCAATTTTTTTGTATTGAAAATCCATCAAAGACTGAACATTTCCTGGGAAATATAGAGATATAATTCATGGTTTCATATTTTTGGCACAATCTTTAACCAAACAAGATGTTTTTTTGGCATAACACATATTTTGGCCTTAATAAAGATTGAATGATTAAAATCCTTGTTTGAAAATTCGCTAGGCGCTAGTCGGGCGCTAGGTATGAGCCTAGCGATTAATCGGAAAATCGGATTAAAATCGGGGATTAGTTTTAGGATTATTTTAATATTTTTAAAACATATTAATAAAATATTGTTTTCAAAATTGCAGTAAACACATAAAACTGTATTTTTGAGATAAATTTTTATGATTTTTATTACAAATTTATGATTTTTATTAAAATTTGAACATAAGTTATTGTAAAACATCATAAAGTCCCAATTTAAATGATTGAATAACAAAAATAAAAAGTTTTTTATACTTGCAATCTAAAAATAATCGAGATATGTAAAATTAGACGAGGAGTAATCGGATTAGGCGGGAAGTAATCGGATTAGGCGGAGAGTAATCGAGTAACTGATTTTTTTATAGGATTAATCATTAATCGAGGCGGATAGGGTGGGCCTAGCGATTAAGCGAGGAGTAATCGGGCCTAGGCGGGGATTTTTAGAACATGGATTAAAATACCTCTATTTGTATTTTGTTATTCCTTTTTTTTCTGGCAACTCATTTAAATATTTAATACACAAAAAGCCTAACAATAGCTTATTGGGTCTATATTGAACTATATAACGAATTTACGATCTATTGGGCCTTAATAAAAGCGTATTGGGTCTCATATTTAGAAACTAGAATATTCGATAAGAAAATCGAATTAAAAAAAAAAAAAACTGGAACGGTTTTAATCCGTGTTCAAAAAATCGCTAGGCGCTAGTCGGGCGGTGAGGGTGCGCCTAGCGCCTAGCAAGAAAATCGGGGATTACACGGGGATTAATCGGGGATTAGTTTTAGGGCTATTTAATATTTTAAAAACATATTAATCCATTATAATTAAGAAATTTATATAATATTATTTTAAAAATTGTATTAAACACATGAAAACAAGATTTTAATTTCAAATTTATGATTTTTATACAAATTACGAACATAAGTAGGACGTTTTGAATTTTAGATAAAAAAAAAAAAGTAAAAAAAAAAAAAAAAAAAAAAAAAAAATTGGGCTAGGCGCCGTCTAGGCGGGCTAGGCGGCCGCCTAGGCGGTCTAGGCGGACGAAAAATCGGGTTTACGCGGGGTGTAATCAGTAAACCGATTTCTTAAACCGATTATGCATTAAACCCATCGGTACAGCACCGCCTAGCGCCTAGGCGCCGATTAATCGGCCGCCTAGCCCGATTTTTAGAACAAGGGTTTTAATTATTCGCACAAGCCGCACGTGTGATTCTCATAAAAAACAAAAAAAAAAGACAAATAATATTTTAATATTTAATTATTATTATTCAGGTTTGGCCCGCCGCTGTGGAGCTTGCGGCATCTTTTAACCCTTATTCATCAAAACCACATTGTTCTATCATCTAAACCGTCCGATCTAACGCCACGTCACCTATCCTCGTCAAATTAACATTCAACGGTTCAGATCTAATCTCAAAGACGGTACTGCTTCAGTTCAATAGTCGAACCTTCTCTAACCCTTCTCTCTTCTCTAAAAATTCTCCAGGAAAATCGAAAACTTTCTCGGGAAAATCTTTATACTTTTGCTTTTCGAGAACCATGACTGGTGTTGATGATGATGATAAGAACTTCAAAGAAGAACCTGAGATTCAAGTTTTAAGCGACGACGATAGTGATGAAGAACAAGTTAAAGACGTAGGTGAAGAAGGTAGCGACGAAGATGATGATGATGGTAGTGAAGGTGATGACGATGATGATGATGAGGAAGAAGAAGATGATGATGATGATGATGTTCAGGTTTTGCAGTCTTTAGGTGGTCCTCCTGTACAATCAGCGGAAGATGAAGATGAAGAAGGTGATGAAGATGGAAACGGTGATGACGATGATGATGATGATGATGACGACGATGATGATGATGATGAAGATGCTGAAGATGAGGTAAAGATTCAGAATTTATCAATTTTTGCTTCTATTTTTGAGTTTTTTGTTCACTTGATTTAGGGTTTAGTCTCTGAGATTGTAGATCTAGGGTTTTATGTGTCTCAATTAGGTTTAAATTCCACTGGTAATGATAGTTAAAGTCTGAATCTTTGCTAAAGAAAGACTGGATCTGTTTAACCTAAACAGAATCTTTGAACTTTTCTTACTGTAACTAGAAATTGTTCTGTTTTATCTCCAATTTAGGGTTTATACTTTCTTCCCCTAAATAAACAAGTGGGTTTTGGTTAAGTTTCTGTTTTGTTTCTTTGAGTGAACCAATTAGATTAGAGAGTGTTTAGATTCTGTGTGTTCTCATGTTCTACTTTCAAAGTTTATACCTTTGTAGTCCTTATCTGAAAAGGGTTGTCATAGTTTTCTTTGACTCTGTTGTTTTGATTACTGAAACTTTGTTTAAGCTTTGAAACTGAGATGGTTGTGTTTGGTTTTGTTATATGGGATTGTGTAGGGGGATCTTGGGACAGAGTACTTAGTGAGGCCAGTTGGTAGAGCTGAAGATGAAGAGGATGCAAGTGATTTTGAGCCGGAAGAGAATGGTGTGGAAGAGGATATTGATGAAGGAGAAGACGATGAGAACGATAACTCGGGTGGTGCTGGGAAATCAGAGGCTCCGCCGAAGAGGAAGAGAGCTCCTGAAGAAGATGAAGAGGATAGTGGTGATGAAGATGATGACAGACCTCCAAAGAGGTAGTTTTCGGATCTGACAACAACACAATGAGACCAGAGAGCTTTTATGTTTTTTAAAAAATTTGGTGTTGTGAGAATTGAATCATTGGTTGGGGTTTATGTAAGTTTATTATGCAGCAACAAGTAGTAGTTTTAAGTTTTAAGTAGGGCTCTTTTTTTATTTTATGCATTGCTGTTTCTTCTTTTACTTTTTTTTTAGTGAGTCAATAACCAATGAATGTTTCTCCAACAATTTACTTACCTAGTGTCTAATGCTATTTCTTTAGAGCTTTCTTTTACGTTTCTGTATCTCTTCTAATTTAGAGTATAGTTGTAAACTCTAATCTTGTTTCTTTACTTTTGCTTGGAGTTTTTGAAATCAAATCAAACCGATCTATATTTTCTCTGTTTTAAGTAGGTCAGAACTTGAAAATCCTAAAAAAAAAAAAATAGGAAACCTTAACATGAAAGCTTCTAATAAATATCTGATATCCATTGGAGTTTGGTTATTTATCGGTTATTTTTCTAAGTATCCGAACCATAGAACCGAAATAACCCAACCGAAGAACCGAACGCCCAGCCTTAGTACCAACGAAAACTTAATTACGTAGAAGTTAGTGTATACATGCTTGATTGGAATTATACAAGAAAGTTTGGAAGTTAATACCGTAACACGAGTACTCCAAGCTAGTCACATATGATTTGCTTCTAATTATTTTTTTGTTTTAGTGAAATTCAATGATTTGCTTTTTGTTGTTGCCGTGACTATTTTATATGGATACAAAAAGTCATCACATTTGAATATGATCATATAGATTACTGCCACACTTTTTTGTGTGTGGATATCTGTCCTTTTTACTTATAACTGATTAATTTAAATTTTCGATTGCAGATCAAGTTCAAAACTATATGATATGACCGCATAACTTCTTATTGGGCTTTGGTGGGTTGCGTAACTTGCGTTATTAAGTATCGTTTAAGCCAAATTACTTTAATATTCTCTAATTCTTCAAATCTTCGTTCTTTCTCCTCAAAACTCTAATTATATATCCCTGGCCGATTGGTAAGGGCTGTTAGTTTTGGCTATAAGTAACCGTCTTAAACTATAGAAGGGCCTTTGGTAAAACTAAAAATATAACAAATTTTCTTAATAAATTTTTTTTTAAAAAAAAATTGGGCCTTTTTTCTTCACTAATTTTTTGAAAATGGCATTGGACCCATGGCAAATGCCTATGTTGCCATGGGGTAGAGACGGGCCTGCCTATAAAGACTTTGACTTTAAGACCTTTGGCTGTAGAAACTTTGGCTACAGAGACTCTGGCTATAGAAACTTTGGCCGTTAAAATCTGATTGGTAGAACAAAGCTGTAGAAGCTGTGACTGCTATTTTTAAAAAATTATATATATTCATAATAAATATAAATAATGTTACAAATGAATTCATGTGACAATATAAACATATAGAGAGATTCTAATTATTATGGGAAGAAGAAAAAAAAAAGATTTTAATTATTATTTATCTAAAAACCTTATTATTTGTTTGAAAGCCACGTTTTTGAGACTTTAGACTACTCTCAAAGCCTTCAAAGCCTTGTGCCAAACACTACACAATCATTATTAGCATGTATATGCTTATCGGTGTTTATGTATGACTATTCAGGATTGCGACTATTGAAAAAAAAGTAGAGAATCGAACATATTCAAAAATAATAATTGCACTAAACAACTATAAATGACTAATAATATGTTGAGAGTTAATTAGGTGAATACTATAAGCTTTATTTTATTTGCAAAAACATAAAATGGATGTTTTCTTTAACATCGAATAATTCTATTATTAAATAATCACATTTTCCATTAGTTAATCAAAATGTAAATTGGTGGATTTATATATAAACTAACATTGGCAGAAACAACAATCATAAACCGAAAATAGAGACTGGTTTCATAAATCACAACGATTTGTGTCTTAGCAAGTTGGTAACTCAATATATTTCCTAGGGTCCGTTAAGTTGGCTTTATAGACAAACTCCAGAGACCATAAATAGCACAATATATGGAACATCAAAAAAATTAAGGTTTATAGCTTCTCGCATGTAAGAATTGTCGATCGGTGTATTAGGAGAACTATTTGATTTCATGCAAAGAAGCATTAAAAGATTTACTTAACGAGTTTAGGGAAAAGAAACTGGAAAAGAAACTAATTAGTTAATTGTTAGTGTGTTAAGTAATTTTCGTTTTTCTGTTTTTTCATTAATTGAATTTATTTTCCAATTAATTGGTGGTTAATGTAAGAATTTAATACTATCAATTTAACAAAACATTTGAGGTTTATATGTACTTAATGTGAGCATTAAATGTTTTGTTTTCTTTTAAAGTGGGTGATGAAGTTATATAGAGAAAAAGTGTGTATGTAAAATAAATGTAATTAAAAATAAGGTAGAATATAATTATACAACCTTTTAATTAAAAATAAATGTTAAGAGGCTTGATAATTTGAGAGGAAAGTCTTAATTTTATGTATATAATAATAAATTTAGAATTTTGTACGATTTGTTTTCTTTGTTTTACTAAGGGAACTATTTTCAATTGTTAATTAAATAATTATTTCAAATAAAAAAATTTATTACAATAATTAATTTGGTAAAATATTGATTTATTAAACATTATTAGAAGATAATCGAAGGTAATATAGACAGATGTAAATATAATAATATAAAGTGAGGCAAAAATAAGAACATTTATATATATATATATATATATATATATATATATATATATATATATATATATATATATATATATAACTCTCTCCGTTTCACAAAGAGTATCATTTTGACACATTTCACACAAATTAATAAAACTTTAGAATATACATGTATGTCCCTATTTAATAAGTGATTAATGATTTAAGTTAGATAAAAAGTAGTTTTGGGTTAAGGGTAAATCAGGAAATTTATTGTAAAAGTCACATTGAAAATGTAGAATGACACTCTTTGTGAAACAAAAATAAAACTCTAGAATGACACTCTTTATGAAACAGAGAGAGTATATAAATACGAATATATTTTTAACTTAGTCTATTATAAATTTGTTTGATGGTAAGTTTTAATTTAATTTGATTTTTCTTCAAAAATGTGTCTTGGGATATTGTTTTAATAAGTAAATGATAAAAATAAAGAAAATATGCAGAAAATGTGTGAATATAATGGTATAATAATATTTAGTGAATATGGAGAATTGTATATTTAGATTAGAGAGGAATGATACATGTCAATAGGAGAAATGCCACATATCAAACTCTTAGAGCTTGTGTTTAGGAAGAACCTTACTATATTATACATGATAAAAACAAAGAAAATATGCAGAAAAAATATGTGAATATAATGGTATAATAATATTTAGTGAATATGGAGAATTGTGTATTTTAGATTAGAGAGGAATGGCAAATATCAAACAAAAATTGCAAAACTTTAAAAATTTGATCTATCTGGTCATAGAGAGTTGGTAACTCAATATTTTTCCTATGGCTCGTTAAGTTGGCATTGTAGACAAACTCAAGAAAACATATATAGCCCAGTATATGAAACATCAAAATAAGTAAGGTTCATGGTTTCTCGCTTCTAAGAGTTGTTAATTGGTGTGTAAGAAGATCTATCTTATTTTCATGCAAAGAAGTATTAAAAAGATCTATGTGAACTTGTTTCTTTTCCATATACAAGACAATATAGATACTAAGTTCAAAATTGAAAACGAAAAATAAAAACACTCTTAAGTAAAAAAAAACCTCCAATGTACACTACAACAAAAGTGTGCATTGATAGCACATTACGATAGCACGAATTTTGCAATTGCTATTAAAGATGGTATTTAGAAATTTGTAACTATATTATAGCATTTAAAAAACGCTAAGCCCTATAATAGCAACGTGGAAACCTAAAATCACTTATAACCGCGAAAACTTACCAAATATTTCACAAAAACCGCTCAACACTTAGCGAAAATTAAAAAAAAAAACATTTTATGAACAGACAACCCTAATTTCTATCTTCTTCTCCTTTGGCGTTAAAAAAAAAAAAATCTTCTTCTCCTTCATCGTTCTCTCAAGCTAGACCTCTTTATTCCTCGATTCTTCTCTTCTCCTCTCTCTTACTCTGTTCCTTTGATTATCCGACCCTAGATCTATTGGATTTTATCAATGTCGCTTCAGATTTCAGATCCATTATCTCTTTGTCACTGTCGCACTCATCCCCAGATTTGTCTTTTTCATCTTCGATTCGATGAAATCTTCAGTTTCCATCTTCGTCGGTGGTCTGAGATAGCCATAAACCATAGTTTGATTTTGGTGGTTGAAACGTAGCTGAAATCCAAACCATCTTCGTGCTTAGTTCTTGGTAGCTGAAATGGTTTCTCGATTCAACTGCTTAATCCTCCTACCTCTGACTCGCCTCTCTCTTTCTCTTGGGTTCCACAGGTACGATTTTGTTAGGATTCACTAGATTTATTAGCAATTGTAGATGGATTTGGGTTAGATTGATTTAAAAGTGAGGAAATGATTTCGATTTAGACAGCAACAAGTCTCTATCGAGTTCCTCTTCTAGTGAGTTTGTTACATATCTAATTTCATTCCTCATAGAACTCTCCCTTTTCCTACAGTAATTTCTTACTTGTTTTCCAGATACGTCGGTGGATCCTCAAATACTTCCATTTAGCGAGAGTGGCAAGAGAGCAAAGGTCGAGAAATAACCAAGAGACAGATATGTCTTTCCGCTTTTTCTTTGTTCTTTTTTCAATGAACATGATGGAGTCTTTACTCATGTAGTTTTTGAATTTTCAGGTTTTGGTTTTCTGTTGCAGGTTTAGTTTTCGAATAATTATCAGGTTTTGGTTTCTAAATTTGCAAGTTTTGGTTGTCCAAGTCGCAGGTTTTTGAGTTTCTAAGTTACAGTTTTAGTGAATTTTCAGATTTTTGGTTAATAACTAAATTTGCAGGTTTTGGTTATCTAGATCATATGTTATGGTTTGAAAAATTTCAAGTTCTGATTTCTAAGTTGCAGGTTTTGGTTTTTGAATTTTTTGGGTTGTTTGTATTGATGTTTGAGGTTTGAGTTTTACTCTCAGGTTTCATTTGGCGTTGATGCAGAAGTGATTTACAAGTTTTGGAGGTCAATGACATTGGAAAGACACATGATGGTACTACGTATCTTATACTTTGCACATGGAGTTTAAGTCTAAGGTCAAAACTGGTTAATAAAGACAGGTTCATTTCCTTATGAATCCTTAAATGCTTATTTAATTACGAGACACTTTCAATATTTGAATTGAGGTTATGATTTCTTATTGTTTCTTGTGGAGCCTTGATAGTTTAAGAAAAAAGAGACAAGGAGAGTTTGATCATGACCAGGTGAGATTTTACTTTTATAAGAGATTTTCGTATGAATCTTTTCATTTGCAACTAAGGTGAGGCAATACCTTTCGTATAATTATCTCTTAAAGACTATGTAAAAGAGAATGTCTTTTCCGATTGTGAAAAAGGTTATGACTTAATATATCTGTTGACATTTTTGTCTATTTATGTTTTCTTGAAACAGAATGATTGGTAGAATTCCGGAAGTTATTGGTCTAATTCAGGTTATCCACAAGCTTCCCTTTCAGCATCAGGACTTCAAGGTAAACTAGTACTCTTTGATTTCTCTTGTTTTCATAAGGTTAGTAGCTGATTAGGTTGGATCATTTAGTTGATATACACTGCAGTTAAAGAAAATTTGAAGCTAATTAGCGTTTCTATCTTACTGCATTTTTTATGACTATTGTTTAATGTTAGAGATTTAGATTTGGGGATTTTAAAGGATTGGAAACAAGGAAGGCAAAGGGTTTTGTGTTGCTTTGGAGAAGGCAGTGAAGTGAGAATTGCTTGGAATGAGACAACAATATAAGTTTTTGGAGGAAGAGAAAGAGCAAACCGATAAAGTTATTCGTTTATTCCATCTATTGCAGTAGTTATGATGTTGTTTGAGACCTTGTTTTGTTTTTACTTTGTAAAATTACAATTATGTATTTTTTTTGATGATGTATAGAAAGAAACATGGTTTTAACGAATTGATTTTTGTAGCATATAATTAATAGATTTCCAATTTATATATTTGGAATTATATAGCAATTCATCATTTTCAAATATAGCACATAATAATTGTTACAAAACAATATAATATAGCAAAAATTTAGAGCTACAAGACTATATATTAAAGCATTCGATTAGTGCTATAATAAAACGATTTATAATAGCATGTCAAAAAACGCTATTGTATGAGGTGACCCTATTATAGCTGGGGCAGAAATAGCGTTTAGAAAAACGCTATTGATTACCTATAATAGCGTTTATCGTGAGCTAAGAATACGCATTTTTCTTGTAGTGGTATTAACGTAATTTACAAATCATATATATATGAAAGTTGGCTAACTCTCTCCATATGAGTGTCACATCATCACATAAGAAAATGACATGTGTCATTCAACATTATTAAATAAAAAGATTAGCAAAATTAATTGAGAAAAAATTAAAAGCATGAATAACGATTCTTAGAAGATGAAGTTGATATCAAACCTATACAAACAGAAAATTTCATAGTTAAGGCTTAGAAATCGTCAGGGTAACTACGTGACCATCATCCACATCAATCCATATAAGAATACGATTAAACAGCACAATCTTGTTTTTGGGTAAGCAAAGTAACCAAAATGGATAATACAATTTACTACATCAACATGATTCAGCTACACATATATATAAGAAGACGAAATGGTAACAACTCCTCTTTTTTTGCATTTTCAAATGCTCAAGGCCGCACAAAGTCTAACTATATCGAAAGATACAATGAGCTATATTTTTTCCAGCAATTCTCCTTTACTCTTTCTGTCTTCCTTCTCCCTCCAATAACCTATTTTCATATATATGATTCTTAGAACTTGTGTTTAGGAAGAACCTTATTTTATTATATATGATAAAACTAAACAAAATATACAGAAAAAATGTGTGAATATAATGGTATAGTAATATTTAGTGAATATGGAAAATTGTGTATTTAGGTTAAGAGAAATGAAACAATTCAAAAGGAGAGATACCAAATGTTAAATTTTTAGAGCTTGTGTTTAGGCAAAATATTACTTTTATTATATTAGATATTTCAAACCTTAGGCGAGATAACTATTATATAATTTTTCAAACTTTTTTTATGTATTGTGAAAAGTTCATTCATACAACATTTATTACAATAATACGACCATTTTTTTTAATCTCTCATATAACTCCAAAAGAAATTAAACTCCAACTAAAACTAAAACCTCATTCCCACTAGTAATACGACTTAGCAATTTCTCCATTAGCTCCTTTAGGATAAAATCCACCGGGAACTCTCTCATTTCCACTTCCATACACAATTCGTAGAATCTCCTCAGGTGTTCTATCAAAAGAAAGAGACGACTCATCCCCAGCCAATACATTCCCCAACACTTTTCCTTCTGCGCCCTTAGCTATAGGCACCAACAATCCCTCATCTTTTAGTCCTGCTTTTCCCAATTTGTTCCTTAGCTCCGAGATCTTATTCGTGAAGGCCGCGACCGTGACATTATAAGGATGGACTATGTGTGAAGCCCGAGCATATAACATTGTTCTAATCACCGCATCCTGACCAGATTCTACTCCCAAAAGTCCTGCTACTAACTGAAAAAAACGTTTGCATATGTACATAAAAAACAATTGGAACAAACTCATCTCTCTTGTAAACCATGTTTAAATTACTTTGTTTTTCAATATAATATTTTGAATATATCACATTTCTGTAATTAGATGAAATTTTAGTCCTAATTCGTAAAGAGAACTTTCCTTCATAAAAAACAAAACCGTAAAGAAAATTACGTGTATTTTATAAAACTTACCTCAAAATCAATCGAATTTCATCTAAACACATATTGATGTGTAAAACGTAAGTCATGATTTTCGTCAAGGCCTAATGAAACTACTACATCTTTCTTCAATGTGGAATTTTTAATATATTCCAAAAAAACTTAGTTTGTGGTTATAATATGAGACTATACCAATTGAATCAATTTTGTTTTTAAGATTTGTTACCTTCCTTGAGGCAGGACATTGCAGTTTAGGGTTAGCGCCAACGTAGCCGGTGAGACCAACATAAGGGACTAAATATGAAGCAATTAGGTAATTGTAGGAATTGGCATAAGGATTGAATGGTGGCACAAATTTTTTCCCAAATGCTTTATCCATCACTTCTGCAAACGCTTTTTTACTCAAATCAAGTTGTGGCCTTGCAAATCCTTTCACTCTTTTTTTTATTGCCCTGTCATTTTATTTGTTTAAGATTAGGGTAAGGCGTTGTACATTAAAAAAATGAAATTAAAGAATATCAAGTCTACGATATTTTACTCGGCAAGTGGTATTCTAACAATGTATAAATAACGATTTACAAGACATGGTTCATTAATTTTCACCTAGAAGGCTAGACGTTATTTTCTGCATAAATATAAATTATACACGTAACTATAAACTATATACACACTTTATATGAAATAAAATAAACATTTTACCTCAAGTGACCAACCTCTTGCCAAGCAAACTGCAAAACAACATCTCTTGTCAAACGATCAAGCTTAGCTTTCTGAGCTCCAAGAGGACTTGGCCCTCCCATTGTTAGATTTGGTGCGACTTTATCAAGACCAACCCCTAATGCTCCGAACAAGAAAAATTCAGCTTCAAGATACTCTAAATTCAGTGGAAACTCTAATAATTTCCTATCCTTATTCGTACAGCTCGTTGTCTTATTTGGACTACTCATAACGTTGAAGAAGAAGAACGACATCACTACTGAAACCAACAAGCTTCTTCTTACTTTGGTGATTGCCATTTCTATTAAAAAAATATTCGCTTTTTGTTTTTAGTTTTCTATGATCTGATTTAGTTTTGAGTTTTGAAGGTGCTTTATATAGGGTATAATTAGGACTTGAGTGAAGAGCCACGGTGGAGTCATTGAGTCAATATTCAAATCCTATTGCATGATAAGATGCTAGCATGTTTGATTTTTTTTTTCATTATTATTTTTGTGTATTTTTAGAAATAAATATATTGACTGAGATTAATAGATTGTATTGTATTCAATCATATATTTGAATGATTAAGTTTAGTAGATTTTGGATAATTCTAAGGGAAATTTTTATGATTTTTTAAAGCACTTCAAAGCACTTTGATTTGATTAAAATTCAATAATTAATAACTGTGGATTTGAATTTACTTTTTCAAATCACTAATTCAATAACATTAGATTTTATAATAATTTTTAAAATTATGATTGAATAACACAGTATTTATCATTTTGACACATATCATCTTAAAGGCATACTTGTTTAAATACACTCCCCTAAATAGATAAAGATCTAATATTTATAAGAACAAAATTCGTGTATAGTTGTTGACATTTCAACAAAGATTCAAGTATGCTAAAATACAATTTTATAATTATATTTTCTGACAGTTCTGAAAATTGTTTATTTGGCTCATAAATAATATTACTCTAGTATATGACTCATAAAAAACTATATATATCATATTATTTTCATAGCCGATTATTCTCGTAGTTAAATTTCAAAACGTTACTAAAAGAAAAATACCCCGTTCACAACACATACTAGACGAAAAAAAAAAAAAAACACTTACTAGATGAAGTCTCCTCAATTTAAGGACTGGGGTTAAATGGTGGCACATATTTTCTTCCAAACGATGTATCCACTACACTCGCGCGTAAATCTTCTTATGCCCAAGTAAGTTGTGCAAATAAAAAAAATTATATCTTAGTTATCTACCTAATTACATGTCCCGATATATTCATTTGCTATATTAATTATATGTAAATTTACTATTATTTTATACTTCTTGAAGAGGATATAGTAGAAACTTATCTGTATGCTAAAATATAGCTAACTAAATAAAATAAAATTTACATAATAATAACTTTTTTTTTTCTTTGATAGGAATGTAAGTAAACATGTACACCCTTAATTACAAGGTTTGGCACAGCTAAGATCCTGTTGCTAGTGAGTTATTCATAGTTGCCAAACTCGTGCAACAAGATCTTAGCTGTGCCAAACTTTGTAATTAAGGTATTTGTTGTTCAACAATTTGCCTCACACTATTCAATTGGTTCATTTTTACCTCATTGGTTACCCGATTGTGTTCGTGATTATGTATTGCCAAAGTAATAAAATTCTTTCATAATTTAGGCGTAAAAAAAACAATTATAAAATTTTTACACATTTTCAAACTTTTCATCGACTATGGAAATGTCACTCTCACAACATTTATTACAATAATACGACAATTATTTTCTTTAGTCTCCTATAAAACCAAAAACCTAAGATCTACAAAGGAAATTAAACGCAAAGTAAAACTAAACCTCACTCACTCCCAACAGTAACCAAATAAGACTTAGCGATTTCTCCATCAGCTCCTTTAGGATAAAATCCACCAGGAACACTTTCATTTCCACTTCCATACACAATCCGTAGAATCTCCTCAGGTGTTCTATCAAACGAAAGGGAGAACTCATTACCGACCAATACATTCCCAATCACTTGTCCTTCTGCACCCATGAATTTAGGTACGACCAATCCCTCATCTTTCACTCCCGCTTTTCCCAATTTGTTCCTTAGATCAGAAATCTTATCCGTGAAAGCCGCGACCGTGACACCATAAGGATAGACTATGTGTGCCGCTCGAGCGTATAACATTCCTCTTATTACCGCATCTTGACCCGATTCTACTCCCAAAAGTCCTGCTACTAACTGCAAAAATGTTTGGATAATATCATGTACAATAATGGGGATATTCAAAAAAATAATATCAATTGAGAACTAACGTATCTCTCTTGTAAGGCTTGTTTAAATGACTTTTCTTTTCCAATATAACATTTTAAAATATATCAAACTTTTCTTTGTAATTAGGTGAAGATTTAGACATAACTCGTAAAGAGTGTGTATTTTATGATATTTTTACCTAAAAATGAAATATCATCTTAACTCATTAATGTTGACGAAAAGTAATTCATGATCTTCATAATGCTTAATGAGACGACATCTTTTTGAAATGGAATTTTGAATATATACATAAAACCTTAATTTGTAGTTATATGATGAGACTATATGTTAGATTTGTTACCTTTCTTGAGGCTGGACATTGCAGTTTAGGGTTAGCGCCAACGTATCCAGTGAGACCAACATAAGGTACCAAATAAGAAGCTATGAGGTAATTGTAAGAATTGGCATAAGGATTGAATGGTGGCACAAATTTCACTCCAAAGGCTTTATCCATCACTTTCGCAAATGCTTTTTTACTCAAATCAAGTTGTGGCCTTGCAAATCCTTTCACCGTTTTCTTGATTGCCCTGTCATTTTTTCGTTATTGTTCAAGATGATGTTAATGCGATGTACATAAGAAAATCAAATTAAAGATGTACATAAGAAAATCAAATTAAAGAATCTCAAAGCTACGACATAAATAGCAATTTATTAGAACCGATCATTTGTTCATGAACAAGGCTAGAAGATATATATACACCAAAGACCAAACCAATCATTTAATTTTAGTTTTGGACGGATTTTTGACAATTTAAATTTTGCGATGTACAAATCTGACAAATATCCTTCACGTTTGTCGGTTATAAATAATATATTAAGACACTTTGTCTTAGAAACAAATTACTTCTCCAAACCAACAAAAAGAAAATTAAACAAGTTTCCTAGTCTAACTATATATAATAAGGAAAATGAATTTCGTATATTTTTCTTAGATGTACGTACTACTAATCCATTACTCCTAGAGAGGTAATATAATCAAAATTCGATCTAAACTATACGTACTATATATGAATTAAAAGAAACATTTTACCTCAAGTGGCCAACCTCTTGCCAAGCAAACTGCAAAATAATATCTCTTGTCAAAGGATCAAGATTAGCTTTCTGAGCTCCAATAGGACTTGGCCCTCCCATTGTTAGATTTGGTGCGACTTTATCAAGACCAAACCCTAATGCTCCGAACAAGAAAAACTCAGCTTCAAGGTACTCTAAATTCAATGGAAACTCCAATAGTTTCCTGTCCTGATCCGTACAGTTGGTCGTTGCCGGATCTGGACAACTCATGACTTGAAGATGGTGAAAGTTGAAGAAGAAGACCACGATCACCATTGAAACCAACAAGCTTCTTCTCTCTTTTGTGATTGCCATGTCTAAAAATGTTTTGGCTTTTGTTTTTGGTTCTTTATGATCTGATTTGGTTTTGGGTTTGAAAGTGATTTATTTATAGGGTTTAGGACTTAAGTGAAGAGCAAAATAAGTCTCCTCTTTTACCGGCTTATTTACTCCGGAGAGGATTTCGTGGATAGTGCCACGTGGCTTTTTCACTGCTAGATGAGTTCCACGTGGATATTTGACGTTTTCAGTTACTAATCTTAGGACACATCTTTGGATTATGAGAAATGAACGGAAAAGTCGTCTTGTCTTTTTGAGTTTATTTGATAAGGGTTAGGCTGAATACTATTCTTTGTTTTTTAGTACCTATTAAATGTATAAAATCAAATGATATTTGTTTTTAGTGGATTCAAATATTTATATATTTTTTTTTTTGTTAAAGGATTCAAATATTTATATTGCGTGGAATATCGAAAATTTGAGTGATTAATTTTTAGGACACATCTCTTGAATATGAGAATTGAAAGCAAAAGTCTTCTTGTCTTTTTGAGTTTATTTGATAAGGGTTAGGTTGAATATTCTTTGTTTTTTAGTACGTATTAAATGTTGAAATTAAAATCAAATGATAATTGTTATAAAATGAACACACGTTTGTTTTTTAATTGATTCAAATATTTATATTTGCTTTGCTTGAAATAACGAAATTTGAGTGATTGTTTTTTAGGACACATCTCTGGATTATGAGAAATGAACGGAGAAGTCTTGTCTTTTTGAGCTTATTTGATAAGGTTTAGGTTGAACAATAAAAGGATAACGTATGAGTTAAATTAGATCAGCAAGAAAGTAAATCTTAGCAAATATATATGATAAATGTTTACATCAAAAATAAAACCAATCTAAAAGTTAATATTCATATTGATTTAGATCTTTTTCCCTGTTTTTCGAACAACGAAACAATCTTTATCTGATGCCAAGGATCTCTCGTAAAGCAAATTTGGGTTTCTTAAAAAAAAAAAAAAAAAAAAAATTGGGTTTCTTTGTGTGTTTCCATTATAAATGCCTTGGCCGTTAAAATCTGTACATGCAATTCTTCTTCTTTTTATTGCAAATTATAGAATTTCACGTAACCAATTTCGGAATTTCTTAAGGACTTTGGTAGGGTCGATTGGTCTTAAATTGGGCTGGTTTGGGCCTGCTTATCACTATGTAGATATATATTATTGTAGCACACAAATCATTAAGGGCTTAGTAAACTTCTACTCAGTTTTTTTCACCAAGAAAGAAAAACGTCGACTCAGTTTTTGTTTAGATTTTTATAGTATAACACACCAGGTCACTAACACTAAAACACTTATCAAATTATGTTTTGAAGTTAGGTGTTTGAAAAAAATAAAAGAAGATATTAAGCCTTTTTATTTAAGAGCCTCTACAAATGACTATTACAAAGTAAGAAGTCCTTGGAAAGCAGATTACTTTTCTGAAATATGAGGATGGACTAAGAATCTAATACTATTACTTGAGCAGTATGTTTATTTACATACTCAAGATTTTTGCAAGTATTTACCCTTTTTATACAGATTATTTATATTATAGGCCTTTTTATAAAAGCAAGATTGGTTGAGTTTCTTTTTATGTGGGCTTTTATGTAAATTAAGTGTTTTGTTAAAAATATGATTTTCATACTTCAAACTTTTTGGTTTTTAAAAAATAAAACCCTAAACAAAACAAAAGATGTATTTTTATTTTATTTACATCGGACATTTAAAAACGTCGGAAAAAATTGTGTATTGTATTTACATCGGACATCTAAAAAACATCGGATGGCCATCCCACTAAAACTTTCAAATACATATTTGTTAGATTTTCATCCGCTTAATTTTTCAAATAATAGTCTACCACATTTGTAAAGAACACAATGGAAGAAGTTACCAACAAGTTTATACTTCGACGAAATAATTTATTTACTAACTAAAAATGCGGCATGTAACTACATATCTTCTCATGTGACTAAACTTCGCCACGTCTTATAATTTGATAGAGCTGTGGTTTGCTCTCGGAGAAGCTCGACATATAGGTCTTGAATGGTTACTAATTTTTAAGTGGTTTTTGGTTTTTGTTTATGGAAAAATTTAATATTTCACCATTCAAGATTTTTAAAAATTAGATTTTCTAAAATTTAGGAAAACTAGTTTTTGAGTGGTTTCTCCAAGTTTCAAAGAGAAACCAAAAACCATAATTTTGAGGTTTTTGTGGAAAACTTCCCTTTTTCACCAGATTACGTTTCATTTTTGATTTTTGATTTTTTGATTTATTAATTTTTTATTTATAGCCAAAAACCAAAAACTAAATTATTAAAAACCAAAATCTAAAAACCAAAAACCACTTATAAACTAGTAAAACCATAATCCCCCGTGTTTTCTTCTTAATATTTCTCGTTCGACACTTATCTTTATTTTATTTTCATTTAGTTTCAACTCCACCACGCCTTCATTATGAATAACTATTATGTGTAGGGAAGTAATTTTAACATTTAAAAAAATGTGGATATCTTCAATATTAAATCTTAATATGTATGGCTTTTAAGTAGGTGGGCAATATTATATAAATGTGTACAGTTTAAAGAGATCCATCACCAATTATTGCAACTTAAGCTATATAGTTGTATATTGTGGCTAAAGTAAATACTATTTCAACCGCCAGCTTAATTTATTCCATTGAGACCCTACCTCGTTTTAACCACCTTATTTAATTTTCAGTTACCTTCTTTCATATTGCCGAACAATTTGTGACCGTTTTGATAAAACAAGTTACCATTAGTCTTTAATTTGTTTTCGTTATATGCAACTTCTTTTAAACCATAGATAGAGAGACTGTTGTTTACAGTTATGATACACTCAACTATTCAGTTTCTTTGACTGGTCAAAATCTCATTTTTACTACAAATAAACTATTGTAACTCCATGTGAAACTGCCACGTGTGACGTGTCTATATGTTCTTCTGTAAATAAATTTTTGGATTTGACCTGAGAGTAGTGATTCGAATTATTGTAGGGAAAGTGAAGTGTAATTGTGATTTCAACACCTAACCTCCTGCAGATTTAGACTCTCATGTTTCATTCTTTGTTTATAAGCATTTTCTATTTTTAGTATGGATTTTTAGGTGCTCCTAATTAGTAATTATATATAGTTATTTTCTTATATTTTGGAAATTGGAATAAATTTTCTAGAAATCCCAATTATTTACTCCTATTACCCTTACAAATTAATGATAGTAAAGAGACTATTTATATGCTATGAATCAACTGACACAGTCCTAGCTGTGACTTACAAGTTACAATACATTCATAGAATTTGAACTTGTACATTTAATGGTAACAAAAAGGTCGGATAATTGGATGGATTTTTACAGAGAATTAGAACTCGGGCATTTAATGATTAGATGGATTATTGGATAGATTTTTGCAGAATCTAAAATAGGTCTATATGCTATACATTTTTGTTCTTATGTCTTTCATTTTTAGTCATTTCTATTATTTTGTTTAACTATCATCAGTATTCTAATTGCGTTTACCACATCCTGATCACATTGATTCCCCGCCGATCTCATCGTTAAACCCACTACATACATTAGAACTCGAATAAATGGACTACATTTTGAAATTAATATAAATTCGAGTCAATGAAGCTATCCATAAAAGTCTGGCTACAAAGCTGAACAAATTTATAAATATAAATGTGGCCGTTGGTGGTCAATAAATTTGTATATATATAGAAAACAATGTTCCATATATAGGAATGTACCCACTGGTTCCCATTAACTTGATCCGACCAAATTCAAACCCATGTTATTTTTATCTAATTTAAATTTGACTTTCTTTTAAAAGAAATCTGGTTTGTTGAAAGAGTGACCAATATCTTTGCAGTTTCAAGAAACCAACGGAATATAAAATTATCATAATCGATAAACTTGTCACAATATATCACCGCCAATATCTACTTTTCTTAGTTGTAAATCATTCAAGTATTCTGTTTTGGGAATTATGTAGAGAATATTATATCAGCCGGTCGGTTATTATATTATCTCACCTAGGTTATCTTTTATTTTATTCAACTAGAGGAAAGTAAGATTCCAAAAAGAAAACAATCAAATTGTATTGTGGATATTGAATAGTATAAAGAGGTCAAACTTCTTTTGCAAATTGGGAATTTGCGGGTTCTACTACTTTAGCCAGAAGTCTTCGATCAGCTGAATATCCCGAGGAATACAAATTAATATATATGAAAGAGGTTCACGAATATTTGGAGAATAGCACTATGTATTCTTACCTAAAAGGTGTGGGAAGTATATTGACATGCTGGGTGACAAAAAATAATATTAAGTGCAATATGATCTAACATGAAATCGAGTTTTGAGTTAGATTTAGATTTAGGAGTTCATATTAAGCATTACATATGATATGAGATAATACATAGAGAACACGCATTTAACTAGTTATGTTTAATATATATGTACATACACTTGCAAGTACAAAGGATTTTAACATATTCATCTTAATAATAGATGAAAATTCTTTAACAAAAAAAAAGAGATGAAATATTTTTCATTTGTTAGTAAATTCGTAATTTTGTTCTGGAAAGGTGTAGTTGCATAGCTAAAAAAAATAATCGTCAGTTAAAATTATTATTATTTTTTTTTTGTGCAAAAAAATGATTTGTTTAAGAAAAGAAGAAAGCAACAAAAACTTAAAACAAAAGATCAGTGAAAAAGGAAAAAACCAAATAGCTAATTGAAGTCTTTTTCTTTAATTATCTACCTTAGTCATTATAAATTTATAAGACTCCACCAAACATAGTATTACCCGTTGGTGCCTAATACATGCACGTGATAACCAATTTTGGTTAACCAAAAAATCTCTCTCTTGAGCTTGTATATAAATATATCCACACATACATACACTAATGGTGAAAATCTCTTCCTCATCATCTTCTCTCACACAATCTCCCTCTCTCTAAAAATGGTGAAAGGGTCCCAGAAAATCGTGGCCGTAGATCAAGATATACCAATAATAGATATGTCGCAGGAGAGATCACAAGTGTCGATGCAGATAGTCAAAGCCTGTGAGACTCTCGGCTTCTTCAAAGTGATCAACCATGGCGTTGACCAAACCACAATCTCAAGGATGGAGCAAGAGTCTACAAACTTCTTTGCTAAACCGGCTCACGAGAAGAAATCAGTCCGACCGGTTAACCAGCCTTTCCGGTATGGGTTTAGAGACATTGGCCTCAACGGTGACTCTGGTGAGGTCGAGTATTTGCTGTTTCACACTAACGACCCTGTCTTTCGTTCTCAGCTCTCCTTCAGGTATACACGTATAGTAATTGTATTTAATTTGTACGTATACGGTTTGAGTTTGAGTCTCATTTAAACCTAATCATTATTAATGAAATAGATTATATTTGCATTAATTTTCATGTAAATATATATATAACTGCATGTATAGCGTGGATACGTTCAAAAGTTCTTATATATATACCAAACTTTGAAAATATTAATGTGATAAATGCACATGGTTATTATATGTAAGCAAAATGCATGTTTATGTTAATTATTTTTTAATGCATGCTTATATGTCAGTATAACAGTATATATAATTTAAGTGTTAACTTGTTGGTCTATATTAATGTAAAAGGAGACAGTTATAGCTCATGGAAGCTTTAATTATTGATACTATAAACAAATAGTTCACCTTTTATTTATTTAATTAGCTATAGGCTTGTTTTTCATTTATTTTGGAACCTTTTAAACAATAGTGGAGTCTAGAGAAACCAAAACCATCAGACCTAATAAACTAAAAAAAAAGTAATAGTCTGTCTCAATAACGAGAGCCGTTCCTAGGATTGTTAAGACCATAAGCGAAAAATATAGTATAATATATAAAATTATTAATAAGTATAAACACAAAATTTTTGAAAAAAATGATTAACTAAAGAAGAACTCATTAAGAGAAATGAAGAATCAATGTAATGAGAAAATAAAAATAAAAAGGATTAATAACCTTGAGTTTGCCTTATTGAGACATTTGAGATCTAAAAAAAAAAAAATTAGTCTAAAAAACTAACGTAAATTTAATGCCTTAATGGTAAAATAATCGTGAGTTGACATAAGAAGAAGTTTAATATCCTAATTTTTTTACCGTTTTTAATTTTAGCTTATAATTTGTTTCTGATTTTCCTTTTTTAAAGTATTGTGACTCTACCTTTAGACTTACTATTACTATAAATTACTAAAACAAAAACTAATAACCTTAATACTTTAATTCTAAAAGAAAGGCCAGCAAACGTTTCTAATTTGCCTACATAGGCACGGGCCTGTCAATAACAGTGTATGGATAAGAATTGTGTATCAACTAATCTACATGATACATGACATGTTGTATTTTATATTTGAGCTATTAGAAAAACTTATATATACTACAATCTGCTAGTCTTTGTTCTTAAATATACGAACTCTTACAAAGTTGTATAATTGTTCGTACTAGTGTTTCAACAGTTTTTTTCGTACTTAACTTAATAATGACTCATTTTTTGTCTATTTATTTTTTCTTTGATACAAAAAAAAAACAATTTCTTTCTGAAAGTAGAAATATTAAGGTTACGTGGATATATTTCGTATATTTCTATAAGTAACAAAGAAAAAATGAAGCTCGTGCTGATGTGTGACGTATATGTTTGACAGCTCGACAGTGAATTGTTACATAGAAGCAGTTAAGCAGTTGGCTCGTGAGATCTTAGATCTGACGGCTGAGGGACTTCATGTCCCACCTCACAGTTTCAGTAGGTTAATCAGCTCCGTCGATAGTGACTCCGTTCTGAGAGTGAATCATTATCCACCGTCCGATCAATTCTTTGGTGGAGCGAATCTTTCTGACAAATCTGTGTCACTGACAAGAGTTGGCTTCGGAGAACACACCGACCCTCAGATCTTAACAGTTCTTAGATCTAACGGTGTAGGAGGACTCCAAGTGTCAAATTCAGATGGCATGTGGGTTTCTGTCTCCCCTGACCCTTCAGCTTTCTGCGTCAATGTAGGAGACTTGTTACAGGTCGGGGTCTCTTTTTCTTTCAGTCTTCTTGATTACATTTTTTTATTTTTCTTTCATCATTTTTATTTGTGGTGATTAAAAACCAAAGTCTCATTAACCCTAAACGAAATCGAAACCGTAAAAATAGAACCTAAACCGCAAACATATAATACTAAACCTTAAACCATTTATTTTAGGTCTGGACGTTCGGTTATCGGATCGGATTCGGATCGGTTTTTTTCGGATTTCGGTTTTCTTGGATATAGATTCTAATATCCATACGGATAATTATAGAATTCGGATCGGTTTCGGTTTGGATATTTCTGGTTCCGGATCGGTATGGATGTGATATTCAATATCCAATTTAACCAAAAAATCTAAAAATAATCCGAACAATCCGAAAACCGCAAAACAAAACTGAAGTGACTAGTTGAAATAACATAAAACCATAGCAAACCATAAAATTTTGAAACCAATGTGAGACATAAAATCATGCCAATACATCAAAGTTTTAAAACGAAGGTAAACCATAACATCCTAAAGAGTAAATAAGTAGGAAAATCAAGATTAGGAAAGTGGATCCCGTATTACAAGGGAAATCAAAATAAGGGAAGTTGATCTCGTATTGCTAGGGACTAGGGTTCTAGAGGAGAGTTCGGATGAGTTCGGATACCCATCGGATATCGGATCGGATCGGGTATTATTCGATATCCGATGGATATACAAATCAATAACCGATCGGTTATTCTCTCGGATGCGGTTCGGGTTTTAATCCGATTTTTTCGGTTCGGATCCGGTTTGGATTTTCGGTTTCGGATTAAACGCCCATGCCTAATTTATTTATAAAATCAACAAACAAAAAAACCGTGAAAAACCAAAACTAAACTAAACATGAACATGCTTTTTTTTTTTGGTTACAACATTTTACTTTAATAATATTTCTGTCATTTATCAATTTTGTGGATTTTATTAATTATTTTTTGGATTTTAATTAAGGTGATGACGAACGGGAGATTTATAAGTGTAAGGCATAGAGCATTGACCTACGGAGAAGAAAGCCGGCTCTCCACGGCGTACTTCGCTGGACCACCGCTTCAAGCGAAGATTGGGCCTCTTTCGGCGATGGTCACGATGATGAATCAGCCACGGTTATACCAAACATTTACTTGGGGCGACTACAAGAAACTTGCGTACTCGCTACGACTCGAGGATAGCCGTTTAGACATGTTTCGTACATGTAAGGACTAGGATTGATGTTGGTGACAGAGATTTTTAGTAATATCTCTATGTAGTGTTTTTGTCTAACTATGTTCCCTTAAAAAAGTATAGGCTAAAAGTAGACATGAACTAGGAGATGAAAGTTTTGTAATGTGTTACGTTAACTTTGTGGAGGTGAAATGTGGTTTTTCACCCCACTATATTAAGGAAGTGATATTGGATTAACGATTTAATTATGAAGTAAATTTATAAGATTCTTATAGTTATTGAACTTATAAAGTATTAATGAGGATGAATAGACATTACTTGTTAACCGTTTTACCTCCAACGATTTTACTTGTAAAATTCTCTATTTATTTTCTTACTAGAATTTTCAAGAAAAAACTGTCAACGTTCAATTAATAGAGTTTAGTTATTGAAATCCAATCCCAAAACATGTTTTCTTTTTTGCTTTTAATTTATCATTGAGACATGTATCAGTCGTTTAGTTGTGGGCTGTTATTGGGTACCTTTTTCAAACTGGCACTTTGGGCCTATTGAATTTGGATAATCTTTTAGGAAAAAAAATCAATTGTACAATCATCAACCATCTTATAGTTCTTAGTGTATTTGCAATAGTTTTTGAGATATTTGAGATCCAATATTCTACATATGTTCCAAGACTAAATTGATTTTTTCACAGTATAATCATTATTGCTGTTTTGAATTCAACTTTGTCAATATAGAAACAATTTTGAAAATATCAATAAGTAAAACTGACATGGTCCACGAATGGTTTATTTCTTGAAGTTGCTTTGCATAGACTCTACTCATATTTTACATACAGCTTTTGACATTTGTCTAACTTTCTTGTTCTTTATAAAGTTATAACTGCATCATTAACCTTTTTAGCCATTTATAGATTAGATTAATTGATTAAGTCTCTTTTAATTTTTATAAAACCCCATTAACTCGTGCATGTAGGGTTCCCTTTTCTACTTTATCGTAGAACAAGTTCCTAAGCAAAGACTTTCGTTGTGTTACTTTATTTATGGTTTTATAGATATTTTTATTAATGTTTTGAGATCGATTAGTCTAGGGGATAATAATGCAATGTTTGGTCCCGAAGATGCAATTATGTCTCTAAAACAGGGATTATGAGGAAGAAAAGTTTATACTAATACAAAATCAAATTGTTCTCTATCATGGAGTGATCACTTTATTTGTGTTTAATTTTGTCGCTTTATCCATCTGCAATAATTTTATTGAAATAAAAGTCCAAAAACATATACTTGTTTTCTGCACTAACATTCCCTATGGAATCTCTCTAGAAGCACACAAGAAAATATAGAGGATACATATAAAAATGACATAAGGAAGTGATTATCTTTGCAATAAGAAATAAAAACATGCTTTTTCAAAAAAAAAAAAAAAAAAGAAAGAAGAAAGAAGAACAAATTCAATAAAACAAACGCAAGTAGATTATTACACAAGCAGCTATGTGTGTCATCTTTTGAAAAAAATGCAAAGAAACAAGATTCACGATGCGTTCTTGTCAAACACATCTTACTCACTAACGAAAACACATATCGTAACATTTCTTTGACTTTTTTATATGACTTTAACATTATAACTTTGATATAACAGAATGAATTTTTAGCCGAAAAAAAACACAGATGCAATCAAGCAAGTAGCCTAAAATTAATTAGTCGATATATAGTTTGAGGGTTAACAAAAATGAAAAATATTTATCCAAACTGTTCCCACTCCACTTCAGTCAATTACCCAAACAGAAACGGGATAAATGTTAAATCGAGTTAGGAACCAATAATCGAAGTAACGATAGCCACTTAAAAAGATAATTTTTCTAGAGGATGCTAAATAAAAAGAAAAAAGAAAAAAGACACGTGAAAGATGGAGCACACATGTGTCGAATTGGGACCACTTTTGAGTTGCTTCTCATGCGCCACCTTTCTCTTTGATTCCCACTACAGCCGCCATTGCCACTTCTTTCTTTCTCCTTCCGAAAGCAACAACTCGCACGTGTTAAACGTTCACACGTGTCTTCATATTTTTCCGTATGTGATTAATGTTTTAGCAAATTAAACAATTAATATCTTCATTACCAAATTAGGGTTCATACTACTCTTGATGTAGTGGAAAAAACACACTGAGAAATAATTTTATTTAAGAAATTAAGTAGAATAATTTATTTGAGTTCATCCCCTCTGGACGTATATAATCTCGATATTTCATGAGTTGGATGGATTATAGTATATAATAATTAATATATTCTAATCATATATGATTAGGAAATAGAGACATCATTCACGTACGTCCTTTTCTTTTGGTTAAAATATTAGATGTTCCCACCTCTAATCCCATTAATGATTATACAAACAAAATTAATATGTGACTTTTAAATGAAATTAACGATAGTATTGGTTAGCCAAACAGGAAAATAGACCCTACAAACTAGAATTTTCTAAAACAATAATAGCACTACAAACTAAGTAGCCGATTTATAATTCAACATGTATGTATAACTAAAGATTTTTCAAAAATGATCTTTGAGACGACGAAATTTTACTTACCAATTTTTAAGAGTTGATCTTACCTTTAAGAGCTCTAAGTAATATGCAAGTTGTCGTGAACACTTAAACTGTGAGTTAGAGGAGAGAAAACTTATTTGATGTTCACTTAATATATACATCATGCACCAATTTCAATTGCAATCCATTCACTAAGTATATTTCATGAATTTCTTCGGGATATGTTTAATTACAAATATTCTTAAATTTTTTATAATGAGGTGATATTTTATAAAACGAAATTGATGATCATGGTAGATTACAAATGATCGTATTGTTAACTCAATTAGTGGTTTGAAGATCATTGATTCAGTTCTTCTATTCAGTACTCACTATTTTGGAAAGACAATTCATATATAGATCCTACTAACGGTTAATTTTGATCTATTTTATATATGATCCAAACTATAAAAAATACCACTAAACGAAGAAAAAAAAGAAAGAAAAACGATCTTATATATATTTATATTAAAAAAAAACGATCTTATATGACGACTTGGTCCCGAGTTTTCCAACCGGAAACCACTTACGCATATCCTTAAAAACATTACCAACTAAACTCAATCTCATGTTATTCTCTTCTTTGCTCTTATCTAAATATGCTTCTGTGTAGAAATATATATAAATTTGATAACAATGATAAGCAGAATTTTTTTTTTGTAAAAAACGTACACCACAACAAAACAAACCAATAAAGAAACGGAAAAAAACAAAAAGACTAAAAAGAACAGAAAGGGAGAAAAACTTTTTTTTTTAGTCTCTCCATTTTTCAGATAATAAGTTTATGTTTATTACATTAATTAATTATCAAATGAAATGCTGCTACTGTAAGAGCCACTTGTTGAGCTCGTCAAAACTCCACAAAGTTTCAAACGCATCTCCGCCGTTGAACCAATTACCACTATTCGGATCCGACGTTCCATATGCCACCTGATCACCACCGTAGAAACTCGATGCCATCGACTCAGACGACGACGTAGATGACGTGGCAGTGGCAACGCTCGAGTTCTCAGGCGAATAGTGGTTAGGAATAAATTCGACATTTTGAGTGGAGGCGATTCTCTCAATGAGACGAGGCATCCAGAGATGTTTGATGGTGTCTTTGAATTGCTTGCTATTCACGTCACATTTTAGAAGTTTTGCATGCTTTTGAACACGTGTTCTCCAATAATTCTTTATCTCGTTATCTGTTCTTCCTGGTAAATGTTGAGCAATCTTTGACCACCTTCCAAAAAAAAAAATTAATTATTGAAATCTCATTTAATTTATCGAAATTTTTAATTATGTATTTAAAATAAATAAATATTACATTTTTTTTATTATACTCTTTCTGAATACAGTTTTTTTTTTTAAAATACCATAAGTTGAATTAGTGCAATGAATTTTTTTTTTTTTTGAAAACAGCATTCTTTGTAACAAAAACTCTAACATGACGGTGTAAATATTTTTCAGTTTTATACTAGATTAAACAAATGATTTAAAGGTTACAATTGTAAATTCTAAATAAGACGTTTATTTGTCTTATCTTAATTTCAAATATGATACAATTTTTTTTTTATAAGAATATGATACAAGTTTCATATACTAATCACAATTCAACCAAGAAATTTCAAATACGCATCAAATTGATTTTGTCAATTATCTACTAATACATTGAATAATGAGTTATTTATTTCATAGAGACGTTCCAAATTTGCTCTCTTCAACGTATATATGTATGTCCCTTTTTTCTATTTCAACTAATGTATTGACTGTATCTATGTCGATATAAATAAAGGTTTCATACCGATTTCCCCAACGAGAATGAAGTTCAAGAATGATAAATTGTTCTTGGAGGGATATGTCTCCACGGCGGATATCAGGCCGGAGATAATTCAGCCACCGCAATCTGCAACTTTTCCCCGTCCTATTTAGTCCTGTCTCAATTGTAAATTATTTCAATATAAATTCAATTATTATAAAAACATGAATTAACTAGAATGTACACTAGTCAATAGTATATGGACACTAGTCCAATTTCCCAAACCAATAAAGATAACAATTAAATGAGGCTTTATCGTATTGGATGGTTGGGAAAGGTGTTTGAGTTCCACACTCAAAAGGCTAATGAAAAGAACTCCAAAGGAAAAATAAATAAATTTGGACCGACCAATCTGTTTCATACGAAAGTACACTTTTAATGATAATAATGAACTATGAATATGTCAACTTGTTCTTTGTTACTTTACCAATTCTACAGAGGAATTTAGATTATGCCGACATGGAGAAGTCACAGCCATAAGAAAAGTATTCTCATAGTTACGCAAAATCACATTCATATATGTATCATTGTATCTATATATTCTTTCAAAAAAATAAAAGAAATATATGTATCTAACATAAGATGTGATAAAAATTAGGAATAACATATTGATAAGACGAGGAAGAGTTTTTTTTAAACCCACAAAGTCAAAAACGATTTTCTGATAAGAAAAAAGTAGATTTAGTCTAAAATGCTTAGGAACAAAAAAAGGCTACTTGTTTGAGAAGAGAATATAAAAAATCCTTCAATACCAAAGTTTAACCATTCAAATCAATGATAGACACAATATAATATCTCTTGGGGCGGGGAAGCTACACACTCGAGAAATCCAATTGAGACAATAACTCTAGGATATGGACATTTAACGATTTCTATTGATCTGGATCGATGTACGAATTACATCTTATATATATCATGCATGATCATATTCTAATATATTTCAATATACTTATATGCAAAAGGTTTAAGAAATTACCAGCAGAACGAGAAAGGGAGTTCCATCTTCCTTCACCGTGAAGAGAAATGTAACTGATGAGCTTCATGTCTTCTTCCACAGTCCATGGACCTCTCCTTATTTCTATTTCCATCTTCTTCTCGACATCTTCCACTTCTTCTTTATGCTTTATAAGGGTTTTACAGTTTGCGAATTCTGTTCTGCTTATATTCATGGTTTGATATTCTTAGAAACTAGAGAGGAGAGAATGATCTAATAAATATTTTGGTAAATGTTGAGGGAGAGAGTTTTCCGAAGGGACATAAAGTGATCGAGTTTTCAGGGTGGGTTTTATAGATATTTTTTGTTTTGTTTTGTATATATTATAAATAAATGCCAAGCATTTGAAATCGGCATGTTAATATATAAATTATTACCAGAAGATATTATTGGAATTTAAAATAAAATAAAATAATTTCTACGTAATAGTATAAGAGTTCTTAGATTCTCATTAAGCACATGCTATAGTTAAGAGTGGGATGAGCTATCAAATAGCTGAATAAGTAATTAAAAATAACATCTTTATATATATATATATATATATATATATATATATATATATATATATATATATATATATATATATATATATAATTTAGTTGATGCAACAAACCTTTGTTTTCTGTAGCAAGGTGCGAGGTAGCCAAATTCTAAATTGTGTATTGTTTAACCCATGTCTCTAACCATAAACTCCGTACATCTGAATCAGAGTTCTACAAAATATAAAATATCGATGAAACTAGTTTTAGATCGAGCCATTCTTGCCAAACTCACATTAGATCAAAAGTTTCGCGAAAAACGCAAAGAAACAAAGAGTTTTGGGAAAATTGTCTTAAGTTCTATGACTTCACTATCTTTAAACTCAACAAAAGATTAGATCCAAATGTAAAGTGTTCGAAAAATTATGTTTTAACAGAAAAATTATGGAATCACGTTTTTCTTCAAAAATTATTGAATCACATTTTAAATTGCAACATCTTCGCACGTCGCTCTCCTATTCACACCAACACAATCACCATTCAAAGAAGATCCAAGCTACATAAGAATTACATGAATTATTATCACTAACTCTCAATAGGACGAGAAAACATTGAACGTTACCACAAATATAATCTTACAACAAATAAAACATGTTCTCCTCTTTGTGAAGAAACATAGGTCACGAGAGAACATAAATCACAGAGACATTCCAGAGAAAACAGAGACAAGATTAGAACTAAAGGCTCGAGACACGTCGAGGGAGACAATTTAGAGAGTATGAAGTATATATTTAATTCGATTTCTTTTTGGTTTTGTATTTGATTTATTTATAAGATGTGGGCGATGTTTTTTGTTGCAAATGTTGATTTAAGCTGGTTTTTTTTTTGGGTAGATTATTGAAGAAATTCATTTATTAGAGTATATGTTTTATTCCGGCACTCTCTTTTTGGTGTCTTTGGTATCTTGTTTAACATTCGTTTTGAGTCATTTGTCGTGTCGTAGTCCATGTTTTGTGTCTTTTTTGTTGCATCTTGAATCTTGCACATATTTTAGGTATTTGTGTTGGGATTAGATGGTTTTAGGTTTGTTCGGATCAAGAACGGGCGAGAAAAGCTAAAGCGAGGAACAAAACAGGTTAGACCGTTTGGTCCTCCCTTGAACCGATCGATTCGATCAGAAGTTGATCTCTAGATAGAGTCTGTTAGACCAATCAGTTTCCATCTGGACCAATCGGTTCCCACCTGGACAAATCGGTCCGAAGTAAAAAATGAAGTTAGAGTCGGTTAAACAAATGGGTCCTTTCTTAGACCAATCGGTCCTAACGACGATAGAGGAGCAGACTCGGTTGGACCGATTGGTCTTCTCCCAGACCGATCGGTGCAGAAGGCGACGAAGGAGCAGAACGCGTTCATGAGAGTTATGGATAATAATTGGGTATAAAAACTCCTAAAAATCTAATTAGTTTTTACGCTTTCTTTTATGCAATTTTTCTCAGAGCTGTAAACCACTACTTTCTATCCACTTTAAAATTTGGCTCTTATGTTCATGTTCGAGAACAATTTTTTATTGTTGGATTCCTTGTTTCATATATTTTATTAACCATTGATCTATGAAATATCTTATGGTCGAATGCTTTTTATCATATACATTGAATCGTTTATTTCTTTTACATTTTTATTTACAAGTCTGAAACCAAACAAACATCTTTCCGCTTTAGTTAAGAACAAGTTTTACAAATCTTTAGTGTACCATTGGTTTTTGTGTATCAACATCGTGTATACTATCATACGGTTAAATGTATAAGGTAATTAGTGAAACAATCACAATGTGTCCACATAATTTGCATTATCGTCATGTGAATAAATACCATTATATACAGATAAAGAAAAGAGAGAAAACAAAGTTGCATTACCTATGATTGATAGGTTATTTTTTATTTTTTTGGTAGGCATGATTGATAGGTTATTAGTGGAGTATTTCTCATGGTTTCATCGTTTTTGATAGTTTTTTTTTTTTTTTTTGTAGGATTTTTGATAGTTTTATTTGCCATAATTTTTGCCATGTATATAGTTTTGACGAAATAATGAAAAAGGAATTTGATTTTTTATTTATTTAATTCATTTTACGATATCAATTTATAATATTTTATTACTGTTTAGGTAATATTTTAGAAATCACCAATTGGGTATAAAAACTCCTAAAAATCTAATTAGTTTTTACGCTTTCTTTTATGCAATTTTTCTCAGAGCTGTAAACCACTACTTTCTATCCACTTTAAAATTTGGCTCTTATGTTCATGTTCGAGAACAATTTTTTATTGTTGGATTCCTTGTTTCATATATTTTATTAACCATTGATCTATGAAATATCTTATGGTCGAATGCTTTTTATCATATACATTGAATCGTTTATTTCTTTTACATTTTTATTTACAAGTCTGAAACCAAACAAACATCTTTCCGCTTTAGTTAAGAACAAGTTTTACAAATCTTTAGTGTACCATTGGTTTTTGTGTATCAACATCGTGTATACTATCATACGGTTAAATGTATAAGGTAATTAGTGAAACAATCACAATGTGTCCACATAATTTGCATTATCGTCATGTGAATAAATACCATTATATACATATAAAGAAAAGAGAGAAAACAAAGTTGCATTACCTATGATTGATAGGTTATTTTTTATTTTTTTGGTAGGCATGATTGATAGGTTATTAGTGGAGTATTTCTCATGGTTTCATCGTTTTTGATAGTTTTTTTTTTTTTTTTGTAGGATTTTTGATAGTTTTATTTGCCATAATTTTTGCCATGTATATAGTTTTGACGAAATAATGAAAAAGGAATTTGATTTTTTATTTATTTAATTCATTTTACGATATCAATTTATAATATTTTATTACTGTTTAGGTAATATTTTAGAAATCACCAAAACAATAGCCGATAAATTATTAATATCAGAAATCTTCTCCAAAAGTTGTGGACTAGATTTAACACTTGACAAATCGTCTTTACATGTGTCTCCATCGGTCATTGCTGCTGAGACTCTAACATTTAAGGAGACATTGTCCTTTGTTGCCAAAGCTTTGAGGGCGGCATCAAAATTGGTACGTGCAATATTATAAAGGTCTGAACATTCAGCATAAATTTTCTTAGAATGAGGATCAGTCGTGCTTTTAACGAGTGATTTAAATTGCGTGCTTAAGTCTAAGGCATCTCGTGACGCATAGTTGATCAAAAACTTTGCGACACCGGGAAGATTCAGTGTTTTTGTTTCAGGAGTCGATTTAAAGAACATGAAACAGAATGAAGGATTCGCGGCTTGCGAACAGATATTACTGACCTCACTTTCTGAAATTTTCATACTGAATCTTCCATATGATGAGGGAACAAGAAGTAAAAGCATTACTAACGGAACCAACAGATAATTGTTTTTGACATACACAACCATATTTATTTTATGTTTTTAAAATGAAGATTATGTTTCTTGCTACATGAGAATTGTTGTGAGATTTATATAGACCACACTAAACCATATCTACACTTGTTTTTTGGTCAAACGTGTTTGATTATGTACCATAATAAGGTGATGTTTTTTTACCATAAGGTGATTATAGTGTACCAATGGTGATTTTGTTTTTACCATAATAACGTCATTAAATTTATAGCATTATGTTGCCAAAGAAAAATGTCAACTGCATGCATTATGTCAAAGCATTTATTTTATTTTATTCCGTCCGTTCTTTTATAAGTGATGTTTTAGGAGAACGCACATAGATTAAAAAATCATTTAATTTTTGTTTATTTCTAAACTAAAACATCATATGTCTATTGGCTGCTTTGACGATTTATATTCTGTAGATTGCTTTTTTTTATTATCTATTGGTTTCGACGATTTATATTCTGTATATTGTATTTTTTTACCAAATCGAAACAGACACATTTGTAGAAATTATTATATATATTGGCTGCTTTGATCTTGAATATCATGTATAAATAAGAGACCTCCTAAAGAGAACAAGGGGACCGATTTTTCTTTGAATAGAAAGCAATAATACACTTTTTTATTGTTTTTATTTTAGTAAAAAGCTTAGTCGAATTACCAATAGATTCATGCTTTTGTTCTTGAGAGTTTTTGTCCAATTTTCCATTGCAAATTCTGAAGTGTTCGAATTTTGAATCCACATATATTATCATCCTTAGGCTGTAAACTCGTTTACTCAAGCATCCAAAAATTGAATGCAAGTTTGTTTTCTAAAGATGCTAAATGAGATTTCTGGTTTGGCAAGCATTTGATGGGAGGTTTCACGTGGCATGCCCATTTGCTAATTAGCAGGATGGATAGTTAATAGCCGAATCAAACATACACAAAATAAACTTAACCCGATAAAATTATGAAAATACTGGCCCGAACCAGCCTTGAAATGTAGAAGTAAACCTATCGATGTTTAATGGAGAAGATAAGAAACTTTTCTTATTTGGAATTCCACCACTTCTACGGTAGAATTAGTGCAATGCCATATAAGGAACTTTCCCTCATCCGCGATGCCTTATCATATCTCGAGATAGGATGATTATGTTTAGGCATTAAATCTCCTCCGTATGGTGTATCCTCTTCGTACCAATCATCAATTGGTTTATAGCAGTTGTTGAGAGTGGTCTAGTGGTCTGGTTGCCCAGGCTAGAGTTCTTCAGCTTCTGATTCATCTCTAAAATCTTAATTAGAATAATCTCTACATCATGTTCGACCTTTGTCTTCATTGTGGTTGGGGCATAAGCCTTGGCCATAG